ATTTGCAAAGAAAAGTAATTACAGTTGGATTCTGTTACATAAAAATTTCTGCTATTGGTGACAGACCTCCTTTTATATAAGTTTACTTTTATAGATTTAATATTTTTCTATTTTGAATATGTCTTTTTATAAATTTTTTGTTTTTACTTTATTGACATTTAAATACGTCTTTTTGAAGAAATTTCAACATTTGAAGAACTCTGATATACCAAAACGGGAAAGAAACAATACCAGAATTTAAATAAAGGAAACGGCTGTATGGACTTAGTCCTTTTGCTTTCTCTATTGATAGGTAATTTGGAACCAAAAAAAAAAAAAATTAAAATGGTAAGTTTCTAATTATATTTAATTATTGTCGCTGCCCTTCCCTTCTACCAGGCACATTAAATATTAGTAATGGAAAGTTTGTAAATTAGATACATAATGGAAAATGACGTTGTGATTTCGCAATAAGGTTTAATTATCTACTAATGAGGTACTTAGATATTTTTTCTTGTTACCCAATTGTGAGATAAAAGGAAATATTACTTAATTAAAAACCTATTTAAAACAATGTGGACAATTGGTTATAGAAATCACGTATTATTACATAGTATTTATTATATATATATATATTATCTATGACTTAACTATGAAGTAACTTCAACAAATATTACAGAAATTTCACTGTAATATTAAATACCACGTGTTCGATTATGAGAAGGACACTTTGTACAAAAATCATTTACTTGGGTACCTCTGCCTCTCTGTCCCATTCGTGTTCCTGCCATGAAGCAGTTGTGTTAGCATGGCTGTTGTTTAACACGTAATACGATGTAAAAATTAACGTTTTGGATAGACATATCAAGTTTGTTTGTTTCAATATGAAAGGTCAAAATGTACCATTTAAATGGTAGTAGTATAATAACAGAACCATAGACAGTAAAATGTACTCATAGAGTAGAACATTTGTTAAAAATGATGCTCCTTTATAATTTTGATTTTATCCTGTATTGATATTTACTAGCTGAAAATTAAATAAAAAGTATATTAGCGGATTGGATAAATAACCGATAACCTGAATCTGATACCACACGGCTCTGTACAGTCTATCATAAGCGTTCCATGTAGAATCGGTACAGTAGATAGACTCTTTGGCTTAGATAGCGGACTCTGTATAATCGGAGGGATACAGGTAAGTCGAAACAGCACAAATTGACTGTAAATAAGTAAATCTATAACGTTTTTGTGAAACAGATTTAACCAGAGGTTCCTAAACTTTTAATTGGCGTCATTAAAAATACGGGCTCTCCGTTTCTTTGGAGAATTGTGACAAGACTTTACGCCCTTACGTAAATTGAATACGCCAATTTAAGTTATGGCAGTGAAGCACCCGGTAGAATAATAAATTGATTATGAGTGGGCAAATATAAGTTAAAGTTGGCTAAGTTAGCGGTTTCTAAACTTTGACTATCATCTTCCGAAGAAAGTAATCAAAACCAACTTTAGTAAGATTAGATGAGGTTTCTTACTATTCGGATACAATTTAAGTGAAATTTATACACCAAGTTTTAATCAATAAAATTTATTTGTTACTAGTTAATTCCCTTGGCTTTGCCCGCGTGCATCAGTAAAAAAGTGTCCAATGTGTTAAGACATAATCTACCCATGTATCAAATTTCATTCAAATCAGTCTAAACATCGAAATATCTTTAAAAACTTTCACGTTTATAATATTAGTAGGAGGTTCGTGTATTTTGATTTTAATTTACTTAAATCAGTGAAATAAGATGAGAAGAAAACATTGACGTGAGATTTTCATTGACCCCTTTTCCCCCTCTATCCCGTCATATAAATGACCAGCGGTCCGACTCGGTTTCACATGGGTATATATAAATTTACGTTAATAATATATAGCTTATGTTACTCAGGAATAATGTAGCATTCTAGTTGTGAAAGAAATTTTGAAATCGGTCCAGTAGTTTTTGAGTTTATTCGTTACAAATATACAAATCTTTCCTCTTTATAAGTTAGTGTAGATGTAGATGAGGTTTAATGAGGTTTTACTGTACTATACCCTTTTCTCCCTATTGTAAATCTGGTGTATAAGTACATATATTGTCAGTACTATAGGATACATGACTACAGAAAAATAAAAATGGCGACCATGAACTGTCAAAAAAATTATTACAATTAGACTTTGATTCGTGGAATCCCTTTTTACGATTATACGGAACTCACTTTAGGTACAACTGGTCCAAACTCTAAATAACCATATTTGAACATATCCGAATCTTTAGTGGCGGCACGCTGTCAACGCTCATGTATCTTATTTGGCCACGATATTTGTATGACGATATCTGTTCTTCTTGTCCGTGTCAATATTGTCTAAAGGGTCGACGACCTCATTCATAAAATGGATAATATATTGTGACCTTAATAGATAATCTGGGATAGATCAGAGGCTCGTCTTATTGTACGTCTGTACATACGTATAATCTGTCTCAATAGGTGGAAAGGGACTGTTAGTAATGCTGACTATTAGTCCCATTGCTTGAAATATACCCTATTAGGTCGACCTCCACGTGATCATCCCTGGAAACCATTTGCGCTGAATTCCAAGTATTCATCATGACGGGCTAACTGACCTGTTTCTTCATTCTCACCTATTATCCCTCACTGGTGCCCCGCCGTATACTGTTAGCGCGGGTGGGGTGAGCATTCCATTATTATTAATGAAAAAATGTGTCTCAATAGAATTTAATGAAAAGGCGATCAATTTTGTTGATATTATCATAAAAACACCAACAGATATCAATAAAATAGGAGCGTTGTATTAATTTATTTTACACTTTATTGCACCAAGTAATAAAATAATAAATACAGTAAATATTAATGTTAAGTAACCCCCTTGTTGTTATTATTATTAATTTATACCACTATTGGATGTCAGCACATTGTCACGGCATATGTTGTTACAAACAATCTACGAATTAATAGCATATATAATACGAGCCTTTAAATTAAGTATTAAACTTGTTATCATTCATACTAATGTTTATAGGGGGGAAAAGGATTGTTAGTAATGGAGACTGAGAATCCTATTGCTAGCAATATACCCAACCAGGTCTACCTCCTCGCGGTTCTCCCTGGAAACTATCATGGTTAATTCCTGATGAATTCATCATGATGGGCTAACTGGCCTGTTTTCATTCTCGTTATCACCCTTCACTGGTGCTCCGCCAGCATATCCCGTTATCGCAGGCGGGGTTACCATACCATTTTTACCCATCAAAAAAAAACTCTTCTTTTTCTTCTTGTTTTTTAATTAAGTATAGGTACAACAAAAAAAAATATGATTGGATAAAATGTCTATTACAAACTTCGTACTGATAAAAGAAAGAAAAAATCTACTATATGTATGTATATGTATATACATACATATATATTTGTTTTTATTATATCAACCGTCAATTGTCCATTGTTGAATATAGGTCTTCCCTACAGTGATAAATACTAGGAGGAAGGAATGAAATAAATATTCATTCATTCATTCATCCGTCCTTCGGTTCGGTACTGTTCTTTCTAGTTTCCTGGTTTTCTCGCTGATAATTAGTAAAGATTAGAACATTTTCCCTACGCTTTATTTATTTATTTTATTTACACATACACTAAACAAACTTTTCACTTAAATAATATAATTCATTACATACATTCTTTCTTTAAGAAAATAATATAAATTATACATGTTACATATGACAAAACAACATAATAATGAAGATTACACAATTATATAATAACATTACTATTTTAGTTTGAAATTGGAATAAAAAAAGAAAAATTTTATAAAAAAAAAAACAAAATTAATGTAGCAGTGTTTGTTTACTAAGTAATAATGAATTAAAATTTGAGTTGTGTAAATGCGTAGTTTCATCATCATCATATCAGCTGTTATTTGTCCACTGTTGAACATTGGCCTCCTCCTATTTGGGGGTGCGTTAATTGTTGCCACGTTTGGCAGGCGGGTTGGCAACAGTAATTAAGCCTTGGTGATGTTTCAAGAGGAGCGCTGTTGCTCATCCCTCGACGATTAAGTTATCTTAGTCGCCTCTAACGATACCTACGAGAAAGGAAGGGGTGACCTATGCTATGCCGGGACTACGGGATGAATAACTTTACATTTTACTATTATTATAAAGGCAAATGTATGTGAGAATATATGTATGTTTGTTACACTTTCATGTTAACACTATTGAACGGATTTGAATGAAATTACATACTAATTATGTATCAAACTAACTTAACTTTTGAATAAAGTTTGGTATATATACAAATAGTGTATATTCTAACTTAACACATGGTATACTTTATGCACTAAAATCACGTGGGCATAATCGGCAAAGCCGCGGGTAAAGCTAGTAAAATATAAACCACAAACAAAATCGCGTTCCTTAAGGTGCTTTCAATAAATATATTTAATTAAATATTATTTTTAAAGATGCTTGAATTTATAGAACGTAATATAAAATTAAATAAAGGTTAATGACGTCCTTTTAATAAAACGAAAAATATTTACCTATATTTAGATAACAATGTTGAGCGCAATCGTTCGGCACGGTTGTATGTTCAGCTGGGCAGTATGACGGAAAATACATTTGAGTTCATCTTATTTATCTCAACGGTTATTATTACACGTTTACACGAATGTGCAAAAAAAAAACTGTTATTTTATATTATTAAGTTAAGTCTGTTTACAGATATCAATATTTTTTTTGCAAATATGTTACACTATATTAGTGACGTACCAATTCTATATAAATTTTTACAATTCTTTTTGCAATCGATCCCCTTACGTATTAATTTTAATGTTATCATATTTGAAATTGCTATTTTTCTTTGCAGAGCAAAATCGTAAAGCGAAATCTATATGTAAAGTCGCAATTATTTAGATTTTAAGGCGGGTACCTTCGTTTATTTTAAATACACAATTGGGACTTAACGGGATGTAAAAACATTTACAGGTAAATGGTACCTATAAACCTGGCCCTCTAAACAAGAGACATCTGGCATTGCTATCTCAGTCTATCTCACGGACTTTCACGGACACGGACGAATTCGCTTGCCACTTGTCTAGAAGGTCTGCTTCTTTATTGCCTACCTTTCTATTTATATGTATTTACGTTTTTGTGTAGTACATGACATTATGACGAGATGTTACATTCTCGTCATTTGATTTTGCTTTTATGAAGTCTCTTTTTTGATGAGAAATGTTGTATATACTTTGTATCAATGAATAAATGAATGGTTTATTTTCTCTTCACAAAAGGTAGAATAAAGTGACAACTTGAGATACAATTTGATATGAAGACCAATTTTGTGAGAGACTGGTGCTTGCGGTAGGTTTCTAGGAACCTGTGTTACAAGCCACCAGTGCCCCATCTCCATGGACTACACAAATACAATGTAACCAATTAGTGTTATAATACACAGATAACAATAATAAGATATAAAGTGCAAGAATAAACTTTTCACTACTTCAAACGTTTATATGTAACTTTTTTATACGTAATTTTTTTTGTATTTAAAAATCTCCACTTGTGTCAATGTATTACTTCAATGTTGTGCCTGTCTATAATTGATGCAAATACTATATTTAGTTTTTAAATGTATGTTGTCAATGTATTTGTATTGTTGATATGCCTAAACAAATAAATAAATAAATCACTATATATACAATACTTTGCATAGACTAGTATAGATTACGAGTAGGAATGGTAGGATAAAATATACACTAGAGCAGATGTTTCAGCATTTGTTATAGAGAAAAGATAAAAATGCCTATCATTCATATTATTCCTTTTTAATTAATAATAATAATAATGTAACAAGTAAATAAAATAAATTTTGAAGCAATTTCCTGCTAAAGGATAATTTAAAAATAATTTTGTGTTCTAACGTACAGAAAATGGGTATAGATTTAAATCAATTCTATAGTTGAAGGTCTTTTTTTATACAACTTATAATGGCAAGCAAACTGACGGCCCATCTAATGGAAAGGGGTAACCGTCGCCTATAGACATGTGCAGTACCATGGACATAACAGAGTATACCGTTTCGCCCATGATAGCCTCCAAGGAGTTGCCATTCCTGAGGATTCAGGTGTTATTCCTCTGTACCCTGTAAATTCACTGTCATATCCCACTTTTCAAACCGAAACAAAGCCATGCAAACACAACTGCTTCTCGGCTGAAACGAACGATAGAGGTACCCAAGCAAACGGCTTTTGTACAAAGTCTCCCTCTGGTCTTTTATATCATTTAGGTTTAGCAGTTACAATATTGTATTTTTTTAATATTTATTTTTAATTAAACTTTATAGTGTATTACATTCTAGTATCTTTATATTGTAAATATGAATAAAAAGTAAACGTGTCTTTGAAAAAATGTTTGTATGGCGACATAATATTCATTTTATAATTTATTATAATTTGCTATACATCTATTGAACATCGTTCATGAACATGAACAGACACTAGGTATAGAAGACAGGGATTGATAGTAATGGGGACTACCAACCCCATTTCTAGCAATACACGTAAAAAACATAAGACATGTACTTATCTGTTATTCATACACTCTCTACTTCTAAGCCAACGTTGTAATTTCATTGTTTTCACACATCAATTTTCCTTCTCGTTAAAGTAAACAATGTTTGCAATTGTTATGATTACTGCTTGCTTATTCATACTATTACGAACGATATGTCGACAAGTAATAACAGTGGACTAACACCTGAGTCCTCAGGAATGGCAACGCATGAGGGGTATCATGGGCGAAACAGTAGATATACTCTGTTATGTCCATGCTACTGCTCATGTCTATAGGCGACAGTTACCACGTTCCATCAGGTGGGCCGTCAGCTTGTTTGCCATTCTAAGTTGTATAAAAAAAAAAGAAAAAAGTAATTGAAGATAATCCTTCGTCTGTTACTAATGTTATAGATGTGAAAGTTTGTAAAGATATATAATGTTTGTATGTCAAACATACAATCAATAAAAAAATCTACGGATTTGAAAAAATTGGTAAATGGCTAGATTATTTAACACATCATATCAGCCTTTAATTATCTACTGCTAAACATAAATCTCTTTCTTGGGGGGTTTTACCAGTAGTTGCCGTGCTTGGCAGGAGGATTGGCAACTGCAGTTTGACTTTGAAGATATTTTAAGAGGCACGCTGTTGCTCATCTCTCGCCTTGCCTTAGTCATCTCTTATGACACCCACAGGATAGGGGTGGCTTATTTCATGTTGGGAGCACACGGCGAATACTTCACACGTAGGACTTCATAATTACGTTAATTCATGGAGGCAATGATGACGGGATACAGCCGGTCACAAATAAGTGTTTAGCATTTTTGTTTGTGTACCTATTTCCATTGAATTTTTCTATTTGACTTCTGTTATTTCCACAGCTTGTGGATGTATCTACGTAAATACGTAACCGCACATTGTAAACCACATCTGCTCGATAAGAGATTTGTTCACGTGGGAGCTAGTGGGCAATTGATAACATATTTAACTGCCTAAAATATAGATCATATTAAATCAATTATCCTATTGCTAAATATGACAGTACAATTAACTTAGACGAGAAAAGATTAATTAATTAACCAAACCAAATTAGCCTTAACTAGTTTTTAATCAACGTCAAAAAGGAAGTGCTCAATTCGGTGGTATATATAATGTGTGACACTCATACACATATATGCACACACACACACACATATATACACACACAAACACACATACACACTCATATACAATTAGACTAATAGCCTGGTCCCAAAACTAGTTACCCCGTGTTATGAGGAACTAGGCAACGTACATCTGAGAGCACAACCCATAGCACCCAGAGAGCCAATTTAAATTTCGTTCCCTAAATTGGCCCGATCGAGAATCGAACCCGTGATCTCATTATGGTAAGCAATATTTCTATTGCAGCGCTAAGAAGGTCGACCTCTGCTCGGCAATGAATTTGTTTACTTGAGAGCCACTGGCCAATTGATAATATTGTAGTGACTAAAGTGCAGGCCATAATAGATCTGTTATCCTAAAGTAAATATAACAATACCATTAAACTAGATAAGGACAGATTATTTCTAATGAGTTTATTACTTTTATACTCGTATTCAGTTTGTTAATTTATTTTAAATATATATAATTTACTACCACAATGAGTGTGAAAATTTGTAAATATTATATGTATATTTGTTATTTAATAGACTTAATATTTTTAATAGGTTATATTTAAATTCTTAAAAGTTCCGTAATATATGTATTTATTTATTTTAACTTCTGTTTAGCACTACTACTGCCCACTCACTACTTCCTATGCCACTGTGTTAGGTTGACTGGAAGAAATCTCTTTTAGAGATAAGTTCGCCCTTTGCTAACATGGTTTGTTTTAGTGCAATAAAGAATATATATATATATATATATATATATATATATATATGGTCTATCTTTATATCAAGCATTAATCATATAGGGACATTTATTTCCTTGTTTTCTTTTGCCGCTATAGAGTTGTATCCCACGGGATGAAAAACCACGAGAGAAGTCGTTTTTGATATCACCTGTACTATATATATAGTCGGATATCTATATAAATTTTGACCGACTGCTTTATATATCATATATATTAGACAACTGATATATAATATATACTTTGTTGTGCCAAAATATAGATATTGTAACTATATACTTTGTATTTCCCCTGGTATATATTGTATAAGAAAATATGCCACGCCACACTTTGGAAAATAGTAAAACAAGAGCATATCAAAAAAGGTTTTTACAAAAATTATATTTGGCGAATTTTTTGATTTTTATTAGATACCCTAATAGTCAAATTATAATATTTAAAGACGTTTGTCACTTAATACGCAAAATAATATTATTTTTGTTAGTTTTTTTTTTTTTTTTTTTTACAACACAGGGGCAAACGAGCATGCGGCTCACCTGATGGTAAGTGACTACCGCCGCCCATGATCACCCACAACACCAGCGGCATTGCAGGTGTGCTGCCGGCCTTTTAAAAAGGAATATACTCTTTTCTTGAAGGTTATGTTGTCGTATCAGTTCGGAAATACTGCTGCTGGAAGTTGATTCCAAAGAATGGTTGTGCGTGGAAGAAAGTGCCTTGAAAAACGCACGGTGGAAGACCGCCACTCGTCCAGATGATTGGGATGAAACTTTAGTTTGTGGCGGGTTGTACGGTGGTGAAAATCAGCAGCAGGTATCAATCCGAACAATTCCTCAGAACACTCCCCATGATAAATTCGGTAGAAGATGCACAGAGATGCAACATCTCTGCGCAGCTTCAGTGGATCAAGTCGGACAGTAAGGCGTTGACTATCGATAATTCGAGCCGCCCGACTTTGAATGCGGTCTAACGGAAGGAGTTGGTACTGTGGCGCTCCTGCCCACAGGTGAGAACAGTATTCCATATGCGGCCTGACTTGGGCTTTATATAATTTCAGGCGGTGTTCTGGCATGAAATATCGTCTCACCCTATTGAGCACTCCTAACTTCTTGGAAGCTATCTTAGCCTTCTCCTCCAGATGACCGCAAAACTGGACGTCGCAAGATATATCAACGCCCAGAATTCCTAGACTCGACTTTTTATCAAGGGAAGTGCCCTGAAAGTGAGGAGATACGACAAACGGCGTCTTTTTTGCGGTAAACGCGCAGACTTGTGTCTTTTTGGGGTTAAATTGGACAAGATTTTGTTCACCCCAGATCGAAACTTGATGGAGTGAAGTTTCGATTTCAGACACAAGTCTATTCCGGCACTCATCGGTATGTGCCCGCGAGATCCTTGCATGACCGGAATATAATGTATCTCCTGTACTGTCGTCTGCATAGCAATGAATATTACTTATCTGTAACATATCATTGATATGCAGAAGAAACAGAGTCGGAGATAGTACACAGCCTTGCGGGACACCAGCATTCAAAGGTTTTAAATCAGAGCATGCTCCGTCGACTACGACCTTAATGCTACGTTCCTTGAGAAAACTGGCGACCCAAATGCACAGTCTCGCAGGCAACCCAAATGAAGGTAGCTTTGAAAGCA